ACAGGCAACATAAGCAGTTTTTGTGGAAACAGAGGCTGAGTATGGAGACTTGCTAATGTACAACCATGTAAGGTGGCTGAGTGCAGGAAAGTGCATGGAACGATTTTTTGCCATAAGAAAGGAAATCTCTGCATTCCTCAACAAATACATTTCATCTGACACAACTGAACTGGAAGAGAAGTTTAAGGATCCAGAATTCTTAAGATAGTTAGCTTTTATAACAGATCTGATTAATCATCTTAACATGTTAAACTTGAGTCTTCAAGGAAGAAACCAGACGGTTTCAAATTTGATCGGAATGATAAAAGGATTCCGGAATAAGCTGAACGTGTTTAAACGTGCTTTGGAAAAGAACAACCTGACACACTTCCCTAGATGTCTGCAAATAGCAGAAGAATTCAACGGTGAGGAAAATATTGAGTTTTGATCCTGCATTTCACAAATTGAACAAGTTATTGATGAATTCAATACAAGATTTGAAGAAATTGAAAGTCTCAAAAGCAGTGTACTACTTTATAATAACACTCTTGGAGCAACCATTGATGATCAACCACCCAACTTACAGCTTGAGTTATGTGATCTTCAAGCAGACATGTTCCTAATCACCAAACAAGAAAAGGGACCTGAATGTTTCAAATTACTGTCAAAGTAGAAATTGCCAAACCTGCGAGATTTTGGACTGAAAATGACGTCAATGTTCGGAAGCACATATACATGTGAAAGTGCCTTTTCCTCCATGAAATACATAAAAAATAAAAAAGAAGCAACCTTACCGATTCTTCCTTACGTCATCTTATGAGAGTGTCTACAACTGAACTGGAGGTGGACATTTCTTCATTGGTGGATGAAGCCGATCGACCACAGTCCTCACACTAATTGGATACATCTTTTTCGTTGCTTTTGCAATGTTTGTCTTGATTATTGAAAAGTGTTATCAATAAATTTTCCGTTTATAAAAAAATGTAGTTGTTGATCAATAAAAGAAATAATACTCTTTTTTGTTTTAATTATTTTTATACCTCACTTTATTTTGTTATTACTTGTAACAAAATTATTATTTGGCCCGCGACGACATTAAAGGTTTTAGTTTTGACCCTTGAGACATTGCAAGTTGGACACCCCCTGGTCTAGAGCACGAAATCCTTTTTTTGAGTTTCACTATTTTTTTGATAATTGCTTTATTTATTGTTTTTTTTTTCTTATATAGTGGTATCTCGACATACGAGTGTAATTCGTTCCGTAATGTTGCTCGTACCTCAAATTGCTCGTATGTCAAAGCAATTTTCCCCATTGAAGTTAACTAAAATGCCATTAATCCATTCCAGTCCCCAAAAAACACGTTAGTTGTTTTTGTTAAGTCACTGTCACTGTTAATCAAGTCAGATCACTTGCTGATCCATGCCATTAATCCGTTCCAGTCCCCAAAAAACACGTTAGTTGTTTTTGTTAAGTCACTGTCACTGTTAATCAGCAAGTCAGATCACTTGCTGATCCATGCGCTGCAAGATAGGAGTGGTGTTGGCTGGTAGGTAAAGAATCTTTATAAACTTGTACTCTTGGAGTAAATCATCTTCGAGATTTGGTGGGGGAGAAGGGGCATTATCGAAGACAAGGACTTGCATGGGTAGGTTGTTTTGCACTCCTTCGGATTTGTCTTCCACATAACTGGCATCGTTTTCCAGAAAAGCCCTATCTTGTCATAGTTGAAGACTTGCTGGGGGATGTATCCTTTGGCTACTATCAGTTCGGAAAATATTCTGATGTAAAGCTCAGCTGCTTTCACATCCAAACTTGCTGCCTCACCATGCCTGACGACGGAGTAAATGCCGGTCGTTTTTCTAAAGTAGTCAAACCAGCCCCAACTGGCTTTAAATGAGTCTTCCGATTCGCAACAGCAAATCTTCGTAAATTGCTCGTGCCTCCTCGTAATGATACTTTTTGTTAGCTTCCTTGAAGCTGCTTCTCTGTCACCCACACCATGAAGTACATACCCTTGATGTGGTATGCCCGTACATCCTCTCCAAGTCAGTTACTCGTACACCTTGCTCATGTTTTTCAATGATTTCACGTTTTAGTTCAATAGACATCATCTTCTTCTTCGAACTCATGGTTGTAAAAATAGATGTAATATTGTAATGTACAAAAAGCACAAAACGCGAACCTAACTTATCAACAATACTTCGAAAATGAGGAAAACAAGCAAAGCAGACAGACTGAGGTCTATAGTAAAAATGTACACAGTGTAAATTATACCGACATCGAAAGTGCAATATGTTTAGTATTGGAATCCGAATTTTTGTCAGATTTTTTTTTCCAATGACCATGACCATGTCGGTCCAAGTAATAGTCACGTACAGATACAGACTCTTAAAATTATCTTTATGATGAGGCTGTAAAGATCTATTACCAGTAAAATTACATTTTATTTACAAAAAAAATTAGACGTAGTCAAATAAGAGGTATGGATTTGAATAAAAATTGATTCTTCGTATACGAACTTAAGAAATATTTTTTAAACTTTGAATTATCATGTTTTTGTACAGTATTTAATATTACTATTATTTGAAAGTCATTGTGCTATTTGTCACCCAAATATTTTTTCGGCTCAGTTGCTAAATTAAAAACTAATGATTATTTTAATATTTTAGTTCTGTATGCCGTTAAGCTGTGATGTGTCTACAAATGAATTAAGAAAATCAAGCTTATTAAATATGAATTTAAAGAATACCCAAAGTCCTTATCAGCTGATAGAAAGTTTAAAGGAAGAAGTCCTCCAAAAAGAAAGGGAGCTGAAAAAAGCCGAAGAAGTTAACAAAAATTTTGAAAAAATGCTTCAACTGGTGAATATATTGGGACAAGTAGATTTGTTTTTGACTGACAGAACAAAGGCGATGATTAAAAAGCTTGCTATGCTTATAGAAGCTGATGATGGAACGTTTTCCAACGAATTTAATAGACGTCATTCAGAAACAATATAAAATCAATATTTTAAATAAATGTATAGTTAATAAATTATTTTTACTATTTGTTAATAAATTTATATAAACCAAAAGGTCGTGCTTGATCTTTTAACTTAAATACCATAACTTAAACCTGACACGTTGTTCCTTGTTATTATGTCCTCACTATGTTAACTTTTTTTGTTACTATGTCCTCACTTTTATTTTGATTAATTTTCAATTCGTTTCGTAGGTATTTGTTTTTTCAGGAATTCTTAGGTTTCGATTTATCACAATTTTGTGTAATGTTATTTCTATTTGTTATTCTCGTAGCTTTTTTTGTTCTCTCTTTGGTTCTATTAATTTACTTTTCTATGGCAGAGAACGAATGTTTTTAGGATTGTTTTCTCCATATGAAGTTGTTGCTATATTGTCTGCAGGGAAAAATGTCAACTGAAAATCGTTACCGATATGAAGCTTTGCAGTTGAAGTTGAAGCAATTGCCCCATCTTCACTTGCCTGAGGCTCTGCAGTAAAAGTTAAAGCAATTGCCTTATATTGAGTTCGCAGTGGTAGACTATTATTCACCAAATCCCTTTCAGTCGTAGCAGATGGTACCAAATCTAGGTCTGTAAATATATAGGGATTGTAAGGAACTATCTCACATTTTTTAAAAAGCGTTAATAGCAATGGGGTGTGACAGCTTGTAAGAAAGCCCAAAAATTTTAGAGATTTACAAAGCCGTTACCATTCTACTTGGATTGATAAGAAACTTTTCTAATGCCATATCATAATATCGTGATAAAGGTGCGATGAAAGGAATATCAGTTGGCTATTGCCATGATTCGATGAGTGGAATGCGAAGGCAAACAAATGATATGTACATGTTTCTTTGTAGCTAAATAAATTGCTTTTTTTGTATGGCTGCTGTGTTCATCCAAAATTAATAAAATCAGATTTTCTTCACTTGGTTTCGCTTATTGAACAAAATGTTGAAACCATATTAAAAAGAGTTCAGTATTTCAGCCACTATCGCTATAGGCGAATATTGAACCTGAAGGTGCACCAGCTTAGAGTTCGATTTTTATTCTCTTCCTTATAAAGATTAAAGGCCCGTTTTCACGCTACGTCTTATTGTACGTCTTGTTGGATAGGACAAATCCTATACAATAAAACGTTTCTAATAATGGTATGCAAATAAAGGCTGTTGTTATTCCACTTCTATCAGCAGAAGTCAGCCGTCCAACTTGTTTCCGTCCTTTATGCGCCAAGATTTTACTAATATATTTAGAGACTGTACCTAGACCTATTTCGTCACAGTTAAAAACATGCGTTGAATTGATATGTTTTGAATCCAAAGTAGATTTATACAAATCAAAAAATTGTTTAACATTGTAACGGTTAAAATCTTCGGGATTTGGGTTTACGTAATGAATGCCTTGGGTGCCGTTTTCGAAAATCCGTACGCCCAATTTAAACCTGCATATTTCTTTGTTTTGTTGTATGGATAGAATATTTTATTTTTTTTTTGTTAACTGGAAAGCTAGGTGATGAAGATCAAGAGAAGTAATTATACAATTATTCCTATTGTTCCACCTTAAAAGAAATTATGTCAGAAATTATAACAAAACTTAATAATCATCCATGTTGAAACTGTGAACTTTTTGTTTAGGCCGTTTATATTCATTATTTTTGTTAGACATTATACATATATAAATATTAGATAAAACAATACGTACTTAGATCGCGGACGAAGGACATAAATTAAATGCTAATCTATGTTTATCAAATTTTCAGATATTTGCTAACCTAAAACTTAAAAGTGTCTTCTACTTTTAGCGATAACATTATTTAAACTGCTTACATTTACATACCCAAGCGATTTATTCGTAACAGTTGATATCAAACCATTCAATCATACAAGAAATGTACTGAATACATAATTACTTTCTATAGTGTTTAAATTGCTAAAAATCGCAAAAACAATCGCACAGTAATAGTAGCTCAACTTAGTTACACTTAACTAGATAAATTGCTTAAGTATAACAAACATAAGTAAAAATGTATCAACATAAAGTCCCGTTTGTTATAATGATGTTTACTATATATAGTACATCAAATGCTGCTCCGTTAGATTCATGGGAGGAATCCAGTTCACAAAATCCTGAAGAGTTCGGGGAGTACTATGAAGGTGATATCTTCATGCCACACGGTGGAAGAAATGGAATAGTTGGAGAAGCCTTACGATGGAACAATGGAGTAATTCCTTTTGAAATATCGGGATACTATAATTCTAAGGATTTGAATCTCATAAAAACAGCCATGGATATTTATCATAAATATACTTGTATAAGGTAAGCAATTTTGTTATTTATTTTATGGCAGATATAATATAATCTTAACATTTTTAAATAAGTACATAAAATTATGTTACTAGCATCCACAAATTATATATATATATATATATATATATATATATATATATATATATATATATATATATATATAATAAACTCTTAAATATTGGGGAAATATGCAAGAAAGACTTTAATGAGTATCAATTGTTCCGCCGAACGTTTTCGCCAAAGAGAATTAATTTGGCTTCTTCATGACTGAAAGAGAATAAATTATAATTAGCTACCATATATTATCTATTAAAAAACATTTGATCTTACCGTAACGTAGAATTATTGAGTTATGATGTTAAACACTTAGCTGTTTAACATCCTAACTAGTTAGTTAGTTGCTAAGCTACTAGCATGTTAGCTAGTAACAACATAGTGGTGTTTTTTAATACTATGTGCAAAAAAAGTTTTTTTTAACGTTGGAAATGTATGGTAGCTTTGAACTTAAAACGCAAAGGTTTAGCCAAGGCGTTGATTGAATAACCCAAATATTCAATCAACCCCCAAGGTTAATCGAAAAACCCAATGTAACTACATATAAAGGGAAGTAATTCTTTCAATTGTCGGCAATAACTAAATTTTTGATTGTTAGAAAGTTTAAATGTGAGGTTCTGTTCAGAATCAGAACGCATGTGCCGACAATTCAAGTAGTTCTTTTGAATCTTTATGTCGTTAAGGTTCATTGGTAAAACCGAATGAAGGTAAATCCCAGTTTGGGGAAATATTTTAGATTTTCTTAATTGAAATTATTTTTTAATTATATTATTGTTCATGTATTATTATAATAATATCTTATTGAGATGTACCTATCTAATTAAAGCAAGGGAATGTTATATTTTTTTATTAATGAAAATTATATATATATATATATATATATATATATATATATATATATATATATATATATATATATATAATAGGGTAATTGGAGTATTTGCGGACGGAATATAAAAAGTTATATTTTGCAGTTACTTACCCAAATAGCACAGTACGTTTTAAGTACGTACAATTTTGATACTGTACGTACATGATGTAAAATGTACGTTTTAAGTACGTACATTGAGGTACATACCACTACGTACAGAAGAGTACGTACTATACTCCATTCGCTTAGCTCGGGCATATTTTGACAGATTCATTGTCGGAAACTTACAACACAACAATTCTTACTTCTCAGTATTAATAGCTCAAGTATACCACTATTGCAGACTTCTTTCTTTGAAAAAAGGAAGAAGTATTCCAAATCGTGGAAGTGTATACTAAATCCATCAAATTTTGGGTAGTATATATTTAAAAAAATTTATTTTAGTTGTTATAATTTAACATAACTATTTATTATATGGTGCAGATAAATAAATATTCATTGTCGCTAATTCGCAAAGTTCTATTTTATTTACTATTTAGTTTGTTTACTATTAATATTGGCTATGAGTACGTGTGCTTGGTTGTATAGTAATTTCCAGCCACTTTTAGTCTGTCAAAAAGTAACTTCTTTCTTCTTCTAGTTCCATGACCGTTATCGATCGTTGGATATCATGTTGGCTACCATATTCGCTATCGTGACTTTATTGACAGCAGCTCTAAATAACGATGTAGTTGATTTTCCATACCATTGCCTTAGATTTTTTAGCCATGATGTTCTTCTTCTACCAGGACCACGATTACCTTGGATCTTTCCCTGAATGATCAGATGTAAAAGATCATATTTTTCAGGGTGTCTCATAATATGACCGAAGTATTCCAGCTTGCGTTTCTTTATTATATTGACCAGTTGTGTTGTTTGGTTCAGCCGTCTAAGGACCTCCTCATTTCTAACTCTGTCGACCCAGCTTATTTTCAGTAGTCGTCTGTATACCCACATCTCAAAGGCTGTCAAGCATTTAAGCATAGCTTCAGTTAGGGTCCACGCTTCTACTCCATACAGCAGGACAGGAAAGATGTAGCAAGATATCATACGAACTCTAAGGTCAATGCTAAGATCATGACTGCAAAGTACGTTTCTCATTTTTACAAAGGCAGCTCGGGCTTGCTCTATTCGGCTTTTAATTTCTGCGGTTGGATCCCAGCTCTCATTGATATTACTGCCGAGATACACGAGTTTCTCTACTCTGTCCAGTGTGGCATCTCCGACTTTTATACCGTCATCATGTATATAATTTTGTTTGCTAACTATCATATATTTAGTTTTCTTAACGTTGAGTTTTAATCCATACTGATCACAAGTCTGTTTTATTTTGTTCATTAGATTTTGAAGGTCTTCTCCGCAATTGGCAAGGACTAAGGTATCGTCGGCATATCTAATATTGTTGACGGTTACTCCATTCACAATAATACCTTCGGTTGTCTCCATTAAGGCTTTCTTAAATATTTCCTCCGAATATAAGTTAAAAAGTAAAGGCGACAATATACAGCCTTGTCTCACTCCTCTTTTTATATTTATTTCATCCGACAGTTCTTGTTCAACCTTTATTCTTGCCACTTGATGCCAGTATAGATTTGTAATTATTCGTAGATCTTTATCGTCCAATCCAGCTGTTTCCAATATTTCTAGCATTTTGTTATGTCGGACTTTGTCAAAAGCTTTTTCAAAATCGATTGCACAAATATACACATTTTGATTTATATCTCTGCATCTCTGTACTAGCACCTGTATACTAAACAAGGCTTCTCTTGTACCCAAGCCACTCCTAAACCCAAATTGAGTATTGCTAATTCTGTGCTCTAACAGCGTATAAATTCTGCTGTGTATTACTCGCAGAAAGATTTTCAAAACGTGACTCATCAGACTTATTGTCCGATAATCACCGCATGTCTTTGGACGATGTTTCTTAGGTATTGTGACAAATGTCGACTTTAACCAATCAGTTGGTAATATCCCAGTGTCATAAATTCTGTTAAAGAGATTACACAGAGCTTTAATTCCATTTTCTCCCAAAAACTTTAGTATTTCAGCACTTACTTCATCGGGGCCAAGTGCTTTTCCATTTTTTGCGTTTGTATTGAACGTCTTACCTCACTTTCTGTTATAGATGGACCTGATATAGCAATCGGTGTATAGTGTTCTACTCTCTCATCTTCAAATAATTCAGAAATGTAGTTTTCCCATTCTTTTAACTTTTCATTGATGTCTAATATTCTGTGTCCGTTTCTGTCTTCTAAACTTTGGGATACTTGTTTCCATTTGTTTTCAGCGACCTCTTTCAATTTCTTGTGCAGATGAAATGTATCGTGTTTCTTTTCATATTGTTCAATTTCATTACATTCTTTACTATGAAATTGTGTTTTCGCGTGTCTTATCTTCTGCCTGATTATTGCGTGGATCCTCTTGTATTCGTTTTTATCTTTATTTCTGACTTCTCTTCTTTGATCCATAAGTCTCAGTATTTCTTCTGTTATCCACCCTTGTTTTTTTCTTGCTTTTAGCGCACTCAATTTTGTTTCTTGAACAGTCTTTAAGATGTCTTTAATTCTCGTCCAGTTTTCCTCAGTACTTTCTTCTTTGCTTGATGTTAACTTCATCTTTTGTTCTAATATACTAGTTATTTCTTGTTTTACAGTATCATTTCGCATCGTTTCTCTATCAATAGTAACTGTTTGCTTATTCGTCCTTGCAACTCTTTTTAATCTCAGTCTTATTTTTCCTACTAAAATATTGTGATCTGTTGGTACATCTGCCCCTGGATATGTTTTTACTGATAATACTGAATTTCTGTATCTCTTATTTATACATATGAAGTCTATTTGGTTACGAAAAACTCGTTCAGGTGTATCTGCTGGTGATTTCCAGGTGTAAAGACGACGTTTTGGAAGTTTGAAAATTGTGTTCATTATTACTAATTGCTTTTCTACGCAAAAAGATGCCAACATATCTCCTCGTTCATTTCGTATTCCCAGACCATATTTCCCTATGACATCTTCCTGTTCACCTTCACCAATCTTTGCATTAAAATCTCCCATGATAATATTGAAATCGTGTTTCTTTGTAGGTGCTAATACTTTTTCTAAATCTTGATAGAATTTTTCAATTTCTTCTTGTTCATAGTGTTGTGTGGGTGCATATACTTGTAATATGTTCACATTGATTGTTGTTGATTGTATTTGTATCATCAGTATCCTGTCTGAGAATAGGACGACGTTTTTTACAGCTTCATCTGTTTCCTTCGACACAATTATTGCTACACCATTTTTGTGTTTTGAGCTGTCTTCTCCTGAATAGTATACAATGTGGTCATCTACAGTTACTTTTCCAGACCCCGGCCATCTCATTTCACTAATTCCAAGGATACTTATATTTAGACGCTTCATTTCTTTAATAGTGTTATGAATTTTAGGAGCGCCCGTACTCGGGGCCGTTGTATTTATCAGCCATTTCCATGATTGTTTCTTGGGAAAATTAGGCTCTAGGTGGTTTCCCGTTGCCTTCCTAGAGTGTGTAATAGAAGGAAATATAGTGACCCTTCTGCCCTCGGAAACCTAATAGCCATTCGGGGTCGGAAGAAACAAGAGTTAGCCAAGAGAGGCCGATAGGAAAGATTAAAGACATTTCACTCAAGACAAGTTGAAAAAGAGTGAAATGTGAAGGCCCTTATGATGCGCCAGGTGCGTTTCATAAGCGTATGAGTATTAATACACTTTGTGTTCCCGCTCATACCTCGGGGCATTGACTACAGACTGTATGGCTCGTCCAGCATGCCATAGCATAGAGGGAAGGGCGCATGACATTTTTTACAATGTAGGCACCTCAACTCAACGGTCTGACAACTAAAAACTAAAAAGTAACTAACTTCGCAAAAAATAATTACTAAATTCACCAGACAGTTCGGACTGGAGATAGCGAACCGAGTATATTACGTCTTAAGTATGTACCATGAGAAAGAAGAGTTAAAGCATATTTATTATGTTAGATTATGTTAACCTAACCTAATTTATTTAGTTAGGAGTTTTCCACC